GCCTAACCAAATTAACTTATTGGCAGATGCAGGACCACTGGACTACTCATGCCATGTAGTTATTGGAATTCAAACACCTTATCTAATGTTATTCAGTATGGCAAAGACTATATGAAAATTCATCTTTGAACAAGTATTTACCATCAGATGATTTGCCAAAAACTGTTGATGTTTGTGGAACTGAAGTGAGTTTAGATCTTAAAAGTGATTACAGTGAAGGAATATTGACTGATTCAGTTGACAGCCATTAAATTCTCAAAAATCATGTAAATGTAATAGTGAATGCACAGGGTTTTTGATGTGGTTTTCAGTTTGTGGTATGATGTGTTTTTAAACCCACAAAAAAGTCAAATATACTGCAAATAAACTTGAATTACAAAAGAAACGGGCAAAACGATACGAAACAATGGATTCGGCAAAGCAACAACACTTATTAAACAAAGAAGCAGAAAAATACAAAACTATAGACTCACCAAAGAAACAAGACCTATTAAATAAACAAGCAGAAAAATACAAAACTATGGATGTAGCCGGCAAAGAAGAATTAATTCAGAAAAAGAAACAAAAATACTGTGGCATTACAGGCGCGTAGCGTCCTCTACGCATATACGCACGTGCGTACTTGAAGTGACCAGAGAAATTTGAAAACAATGTTATGTTTGCGCCAAGTTTGCTCAAAATAAGGGAAAGACGCTTTGTTCTTTCCTTGTATTCACACAACTATTTCAAACAAGAAATAAAGAATGCAGTATTTTTCGCTCAGTTTACTTAGGTTTCTAGATCATATGTACTTGTGTGTACTTGAAAAAAATTACCACGCCACGCGCCTGGGTAATAAGAGTAAAAGCGTGGAATCGTGCATTGATTGATTTAAAAAGAAAATTAAGAAAGGTCCGTATTATATATGTTGTGTTTGCAATGATGCTCTATAAGAAATCTGTATTGCAATTGATCTCAAATAGGTACCCTTCTCAGTATCTTTTTACTGTGCAAATATCCTTTGATGGAAAAATTTATATCTGTTACACATGTCACTCAAAAACTATTCAAGGAAAGATTTCATGTCAGGCAACTGTAAACAATTTATATGTTGATGATGTACTGTACCAACTGAACTTGAAAGTCTTAAAAAAAAACTAGAGCAGATTATAATAGCACTCCGGATTGTATTTGAAAAAATAGTGGTGATGCCCAAGGAACAACAAAGAAAGATTAAAGGAGCAATCTGTAATGTACCAGTTGATTGTGATCAAACATGTAACATATTGCCTCGTCCTCCTGAAAGATTCGTCTTCAAATTCATTGAAAATTCCTTGAATTTCAACCTTTGGCATCTATAGGAACCGACTCCTATATAGTAATGTATTATTTTGATTGTTGTCTAGTACCATAACAACAATCATTTCACTCCAGCAGACAAAAAATAAACACAGGTAAACTTATTCATGACCGCCAATGACGAAACTGCCTGACGACAGTAACAATGGCAATATGGCAGCCCTTAAAGATAACTCTAGATGTGTGATATTGAAAGCCCGAGTTCACGCAGCTATGCGTCTAGTTAAAACTTTAAATGTTGGATCTGACTTTTAAAAAAACACAAAAAGTATAAAAGCTAAGTTTTCGACAACTTTCTGTTTGCCTTCGTCAGAGTAAGATGACAAGGTGAATAATTAAAAAGGGTTTTTTTTTTTCAAGGCCGGTTTTGATCCCTAAGGGGCACAACAGATTGTAAATAGACCTTAGGGACTGGCTGGCGCTCATTTATAGCATCGGTATTTATCGTGGGATGCCAAGATTCTAAGAATAAGCGTTTTTGTCGACTGCCGACGCCCTGTTTTAATATTTCTACATAGCAAGGATGGATATCATGTCCATTCGTTTCCGCGTGTTGTTTCTCTACAGCCTAAATTTGATCAGGGGCACGTGACCAATCGATCAACCAATTATTAAAATAATACTTAGCTTTAATTTACGCTTCAGAGTTAATTCTCTGTTCCATCATTTGTGTTCAATAGTGCTATGCGGCACAACATCTATATATGTACCCTTACTTTCTCTTTGCCGCGATTCACCATCTTAATCGACCCCGACTTTCTTTGTCCGACCTCGTAGCTTAGTCGGCAGAGCAACGGTAAATCTAATTCGGAGGTCGTGTCGCCCCATGTAAGGTAATCCGGAATCTGGAATCCAGGTAAGTTTGGTCTGTGGAATCCGAATCCATGGCTTTGGAATCCGGAATCCAGCTAATGGAATCCGGAATCCAACCATCATTGTAATCCACAATCCAGGTTGCTGTAATCCAGTCTGTTGTGATGGATCCAGGGCTTCTTATCGGTCTTTTACAGACACCCTTTCGATCGGGCTTTTCGACTTTTTTCCCCGTTCCGCTTTTGTAGTCACAGGCAGCCCAAGCTCACTACTAGAAAAGCGGACGTGACTCTTACCGTGTTGCGCAACGTTTTACATTTATAAAGGTTTGTATGGGGTGTTATCGGTTTGCCTTAAAAGAGAGAAAAAAGTGTCTTGTTTTGAAATAAAATGGACCTACCTTATTGCCTTGTTTTTTTTTTTTTTTTTTTTTTTTTTTTCGATTACCAGCGTCTCAGGCCATTTTGAAGCGTTTTCGGCGAGTTAGCGCTATTTTGGCGTTCAACAGCTATTGAACTCTGTGGAGTTGTCGTTCTTTGTTCTGTTCGTGTTCTCTACTCAACAAGCGGTGGTTGTGCGAACACTTATTACTGAAGCGTTTCTGTGATCAAAATTATATTCGAAGGTGAGAGCGTTTCCATACCTTTTACAGATATTCTAATTAAATCGAGCATTTCATCAATGAAACGAACGTAAAGTCTAACTTTTTGTCGAGGGTCGAGGTTCGAGGGCTTCATGTCGAGCGCGAGGGTAAAATTGTCGAGGGTCGGGGGTACCTCTTTTTTTTTAATTGATAAAGAAAAATTAAACCGAATCCAACTAAAATATTTAAAACTGATTAACGAAAAAAAAAACAATTTTTTAAGATACGGATTACCTCAAAAACATAGCGTGTGGGGGAGGGGCGAGGTAGTGAATAGCACGTGGACGTCCCAGTTCCTTTTTAAAACCTGATCAGTTTTCAAAGAATCAAATCAAGAACCCACATGAAGCTCATATTCGATCTGGTTAGATTTTCCGTGCAACTGTAACATCACGAAGCGAAGAAACGTGTCTTAAAAAGCGAAGAAAAAGCGTGACGTCTTCATAATTGGTTTCACAACATGGGGAGTAATACAGCTTTTTTATTATTATTATTATTATTATTAGTTATTATTTGTATTGCGCTTTATCTATAAAATATTCAAAAGCTGTCAAGGACACTGTCCCGACATCATGTCCAAGCTTCAGACAATAAAATTTCCCCCGGCAGAATTGGTCACATATCTACTGACCTCTAAGTTAAAGGACAGATAATATCGGCAAGCAAAAGTAGGCACCATAGTTCCACTCCACTTTGCAGGCTTCGTAAGTTTTTACGCAAGAAGTGATTGGCAGCGGCTCGGGCAATTTGGAATACAAACCTTGGTCGCGATTTCCGGTGGCGGTAATTAACTCCTTTGTTTGCGAAACAGATAAAATCGTTGTTTGCCCTTTACATTAGTGCAAGAACAGAAGTGTTATTGCTCGATTTTACTCGATTGCTTCAACATAAAATCAGAAAAAAATTAGCTCCCAACAGATTTCCCTTCCCCTCCAAAAGAAAACTGCTCGTCACATCAGCACATGCGTTGATGGCAGTGGGACAACATTAAAATTTGTACACATAATTAGCCTGCGTGCAGATCTGTTAGTGCGGTTTTCGTTGTAAAATTTAAGCATCGATGTACGAACGCACACAGGAGCGCAGTACTCCTACATCTATACCAGTTTTTTGTTTTTTGTTTTTTTTGTACTGTGTTACAAGTAAACTGTGACATTAGCTTATCTATGTAAGTAAGTTTTTTGGAGGGCCATGGTTATAGCTGAAACCGTGGCCCGCAAAATATTTTTCTCAAAATATTTTTCTCACCTTGCCTTGTATACTTTTCTCACCTTGCAAATTTTTCACAACCTTGCCTGTTTCTCTTCGTAAGTCTGGCCAAGCGTCATGATCATTGGCTCACATAAGTTGGGCTTACAAATACAGGCGTTTAGTTATACTTGTAAAACTCCCAGAAGTCTACGACAGTTAGACGAAACGCTTCGGAGAATAAAAAAAGTTTTACAACTACTGTTCGAAAAAGTGCTGCTCACTAGTTTATATTAAAAAAAAATTACTTTTCTGGAACTTGGACATGTCAGGAGAGTTTCCTTGACAGCTGGATTACACCGCCTGTTGTGAAACCAATTGTTAAGACATCACGCTTTTTCTTCACTTTTTTGGTCACGTTTCTTCGCTTCGCGATGTTACAGTTACACTTAAAATCTAACCAGATTTATGATCGAATATGAGCTTTATGTGGGTTCTTAATTTGATTCTTTGAAAACTGATCAGGTTTTTAAAAAGGAACTGGGATGTCCACTTGCTATTCCCCACCTCGCCCCTCCGCCACTCGCTACATTTTTGAGGCAATCCGTATCTTAAAAAATTGCTTTTTTTTCCCTTGAATCATTAATAGTATGGGATTTTGATTTTATCAAAGGTGAACCCTCAAACATCAAGAGGCGACCCAACAAGCAGTAAGCAATCACTGAAAGAACAGGTAGGAAAGAAGAAGGCGCAAGGAACCATTTACCAGAAAGACAACATATTGACAGTGAGACACAACCGTACAAGAGAGATCTCACCTTTCTGGCTGGCAGTTCTTCCGGAGGATGTACAAATAGAGGTGAATGGTGGAAATTTGGTGCAGCAAAGAGTATCCCTAAAGTGGCTAAACCAGACAAGTGATTCACTAACATACACCTCTGGTGATGTCTGTAATGGGAATTCCCCCAAGTGCATTCTAACCCGAGTACTCGACTTTTCTTCCGATAGATCACACATCATTTTAACAACAGAGGAGGATAACAGGCTCTGTAGAATTGCTAATGGAGACTATGGCCACCATGATGACAATGAGAATGAAACTGCACCACCAACCGCAGAGGATGAAGGAGAAGTATCCCTCCCGATAAGACTGCCGGGAGTTAGTTTATCAGGACGGAGAACGACACGGTTTATTCTTAGATAAATGTTTTACGTTGCCTGCGTTGCTGGTATTATAGTAATTATTAAAAACTGGATCATTGGATAATGCAATTCAAGACTTTTTATTGGCTTAGCCATTATGGTATATGAGCCAATATACCATAATCTACAAATATGGTAAGCATACGCGCCAGCTTAAAATCAAAAGGGAGCTAGAAAATCCGGTTTCTTATTACAAAATAATAATTTCTTGGGGGCGTTTTTAATAAAACAATTATTCCACTCGCGCTTGTTGGATATGAAATTATTATAGCCAACTCGGCGCTACGCGCCTCGTTGGCTATCTATCATCTCATATCGAACGCGCGCTCGTGGAATAATTGTTAAATTGGACTATCGTCACGCTTTTTTTTGGTAAGCTTTAACTGAAGTGTTACATTTCTGTGTGGCAATTAAACAATTCGGAGACGAATTATGTTTGAACATGAAAAGCACTGATATTGGCAATGTGTACCGTGCCTCTTTTTTCTTCTTGACGCTGTTGTTATTATAAAAATTAGAATAGCCCTTTCTCGTTAGTATTTCCTCAACGACGTGGACCCAGCGGACTTCAGAAACCGCTCATATATTCACAATCCTCTCGGTTAAGTGTTGAGTCAGTTTGCTAGACATAACGTCTCGTAGTCACGTTCGACGCACTCTCGGTTAAGGCCAATAGTTATATTTTATACTTATATTTTATTTAAGACAATGTACACTTCGGGTAAAAAAAGAAAAAGCTTTTTTTGTGAAAACCAAGTACAAAGGGAAAATAGAGTTTTGAAATCTAGAATCCAGCCCGGCACTTATGGAATCCGGAATCCACGAATATGGAATCCGGAATCCAAGACTCTCGGATTACCTTACAAGGGGCGAGTCGTGGGTTCGATTCCCATCGAGGTCACAAGGATATTTTCTTTACCTCGTTTGGTTTCCTGATACCCTTTACTAGGGCTAAAGCTCAGTGGGTTTTTCATGGGTTTCATTTAGCACTTAATTTAATTTACGGTTCAGAGTTAATTCTCTGTTCCATCATTTGTGTTCTTAGTGCTACGCTGCATAACATTTACATATGAACCTATCACAGCGCTCGTTTTGTTGAGGGAAAGTCTAGGTATATAGCAAAGTTGATTATTCAACAGTCTTCACAGGACCTGACGCGAATAACTGTTGTAGTATAATTACTCAGGTGCTTTCGAGTTCTTTCATAAGGTCGTTTGGTTGTTCAAACCATTCTGTTACTATTTTTTGGATTCCTCGTGTTGAGATAGCAGCCAGTTTCTATTAGAATTTAACAGGTTTATTTAATTCCATAAGCAAAAACTCCACAGCTTTCTTTTGAAAAGTGTTACGCTAAGCCTTTAAGCGTCTTTTATGCTCTTCAGATTTGTATTATCTTTTAACACGTTTACCACTTCCTGCAAAACATTGACCAAACGCGAGGCAGCCATTTTGAAATTTGGCGCCCCCGCTATGATCACCTCGTGCTAGATGATTATGCAAACATAGCCTCCATTTGGCATTATGTCAATCCGCGGACATCATCTGCTCCGAGATGTGAACAGTTTTCCGAGAGTGAAGCTCGAGGAAAACTATCAGCTTCGAGGAACAGATGATGTCCAAGGACAAATATTCGAGCATATTTTCGCGCTAAATGGACGCTTTTGTGTTTATTATCCTTCAAATGTTTCTCACCGCGCGGGAAAATGTTTACCGGCGAAGCTCGGCGAATAGCTTACCGTTTATGGCGCGGGATGCTCACTTTTCATTGTTCTCTGATATGATTTTATGAACAAAAAGAATATGTTCCTTCTTCTATAAACACCATACAACGTTTCTCATCTTGAGTAAGTTTTCAGCGCAGATTTTTCGAACGTGAGGTTTGAAAATTGGGAATATCACTTGGGGTATATCCTCGGATATCCCCCAGTTTTAGTTAGGAGATACTCAGTCACGTGATACGTTTTGACCAAAAATATGTGTTGATAATAATAATAATAATAATAATAATAATAATTTTAATTCTTATATTGCGCGCTTTCCATGAAGTGATCAAGCGCGCATTACATCTCAATAATAATTATTAAAAATATACTATGATAAAATTGTAGCATACAACATATGTTAAGATACTAGCAACTGTCATGATAAAATTATAATAAAAATTAACAAAAAGATTCCTTAAAGAGGTGCGTTTTCCGGTGGCTCTTCAAAATCCCTAGATCTGTGATGGAACGAATCCCAAAGTGCCGGAGCTGCGACCTGGAATAATCTGTCTCCTAAGGTAACCCCTACTTCTATAAGTTGGCGTTGCAAGCAACAGACCATCCAAGGAAGATCTTAATTTATAATTTCCTGGTCTTTTAATTGACACAAGTTCTCTTAAATACGTTGGCGATTTTGTCCTTCGCCATTTGCTCTCCACCTTCAGCCTTGTCCTCATAGCACACTTAATCTCACGTTAAACCACAGCAAGCGCTGCCTACAGGCAACCACTTTCTCCTTCATTAGCGCATGCTTGTCTATCCATTGAGCTAACCGGGAGGTTAGCTCAATGGATAGAGCGCTGGATTTTTCTGCGGGCCAACACTCAAGGTCTTAAAATAATTGAGAGGAATATGCTACCTTTGTACAACATCAAGAAATGGTGAGATATTCTAGTCTTCTCGGATAAGGACGAACAAATGGAAGTGCCGTCTCCTGTAGGGTGAGGAGACGTTAATTTCCCACGCACGAGATTACTGTGTGATGGATGTCCTCAACTGGGGTAGGATGGGTGGGTTGGTGTTGGTTTAAGTGGGTGAACCTAGTAGGGGACTACGCATCCTATTGTTCTCTCGCCTGTACACTGCACGAATCTATAAACAAACTTGTAACTGGATGTTAGCTCGTTAAGGCCACCGAATTCCCTTGTGTAAAGTTCGGATTTTTCCATATCCTGGCGTAAAGCATCAAGTCAATTGCCTTGAGTTGACGATAACGAATATTCTTTACAACACAATCGGGCTTTGCGCTGTTAAGAGAACAGAAGACAGATGCATGGTCTGATAGATATTGGTCGGCCACAGGAACGCTAGAGATGACAGGATCGTGCTCACGCGTTATCATCAAATCAAGCGTATGGCCACTCACATGAATTGGTACATTCACATGCTGCTTCAGTCCCATTGACGCTAGTAAATCCAGAAATGCTCTTGCATCAGGGTCGTTTTCAACATCCACATGAAAATTATAGTCTCCAGTTAGAATAAGAGTCTCCAGGGATAGAATAATTGTCTCGAGATAAGAGCCAAACTTCTCAAAAAACACACGAGGCGTGATAGGGTGTGTTTCAGAATACGGTGGGCGATAAACAACAACTAGCTTAGCCCTCAGTGAGTTAAAACTAACTCACCACACTGAAAACTCAAAAGACGATTTCTCCCCTGAAGCAATCTTATAAAACGAGATCTTATAAAAAATCTTATAAAACGAGATACAACGCAATCTTCGACCGATCAGAGCGCGCGCATCTCTATATTCACCAGAGAAGTTATACTCATTGTCATGAAGCACCCTTAATAAAAGAAAAATTTTAAAACAACTGGGGTATTCGTGGCTTTGTATCTGGAAAAAAAAACTTTTGATTAACCTAAATTCATCGCTTGATACAAAGGTCCTTTCTTCCTGGCATAAGAAACAGAAGATCAGAAAAACTCGCAGAAATGAGGTATTTGTAAGCTTCCCAGTCATCAGTCTGTTACAGGTTAACAAAAAAATATTGAGGACCTAGCTAACATCTCTTTTGATGTGGATGAAAATTTGTGAGTTTTCCCTTTTTTTTTCTTTTTCGTTCTTACACTGTTTGTTTATGCTTGAGATTCACGCGTTTTTTTTAGCCCTGAATTGGTCAGACTAAACACTCTTAAACTTCTAGTTGAAATGATAATCCCTTTGTTGTTTCCCTTGAGATTAGGAGGTCGCACAACGTTAAGGCAGCGATCTGCCTTTGTTTTGCGGCGATAAGTTCTTGTCATCGCAAAAGAGGAAAACGCCCTTTTTTGCTCTGTCTTTTAGGTTAGAACGTCGTTTAACTAATGGTAAACAATGAGCTAAAAGCTACCAGGAACTTAATGAACTACTAGAATCGGACGGTAGCAATGTCAAACAAACCTCGGGGTTCATCGTGGTCATCACGAACATTACATTTGACTCCTCCGTCATTGACGACGTCAACTTTGTTTCCAGGTAATTGTTCGTAACATCGCACTGAAGATATAGAACAGGCATTGCGATAACTTACTTTTAAGTTACTTCTGAATATCTCACCACCAAGTGACCACATTGTGAGACAACTGAAACGACTACACTTCTCTTTTAACGAGTTATTTACCACGATTAGTAACGATTAATAACCACAACCTATTTTACGACGTATGAATATTGCATGCAGTCCTGTCAAGGAGGCTTGAAGCTTTGGATGCACTTATGTCATATTTTGCAAGGTTTCGGAGAAGTTTTTTATACTTGCCCTGTTGTATCTGTATCATGCTATGATGCAATGCTATTCAAATTCGCTATTTGTACTTACAATTGTTGTTTTCCTCGCTTTCATTATTATTGGGCTCTCCAGGCTGACTTGACGCCGATTTGGTTTCCTTAAAAGTTCTGTTTTCACCCTGATTTCCAGTAACCTTCTGTGATATAAACACATGAAACAATTAAAGTAGTAGCACTTGGCACACTTGAAAATGAACCTTACTGGTAATCGTTTGAACGAATGTTGGCTGATTAGATTTCTTGAGAAGACGTTGTCTCCTGTCACATCTGAATTAGCTTTTGTTGCTGATGATATTTTCACTATTAATAGCAAGCAGTGTATTTGCATTTGCAGCCTATATTTTTATGTTTGAAGACATGTTTGGTCCACAGCACATATCGAATGATGAATCACAAGTTGACCTGTGTTTGAGACACAAGGAACGAATAAACTTCACAGTCAAATACAATTAAAATCATTCCCACTGAAACAGACGAAATTTAAAAAAAAGAAAAAATTTAGAGGAGCAATTCTACCAACAGAGCTACGACGCCAGTTGTTAGGAGCGTGGTAAACTTTAGTGAGTTATTGATGACTTTTTCAATTAGTCGAACGATGAAGTACTATTCACCACTTGTGAATTAGACCGTATCTCTACGATTTTCATCCCAAATGAACTGTCTAAGGTCAACATTTTATTCGGCTATTACAGGATGTTTTTCAACCCGGAAGCCACGACATTACCTCGAGTTTCAATTATACACTTTTATTAGATGATAAACTGTAACCAGGCTGCTAAATTACTGAAACATTAAGATATATTTCACTGGATAAAAGAGCGAATATTTCTTCATTTCTTCCGGCTCCAAAGCTGGGCCTTGTAATTATAAGGAAGTGACAGGTTGTAGATTAAGTCAGAAGTACTAGTACTTCATTTGTCTATTTTCTTGTGATGGATTGATTGTTTTTTCAGGAAATTAAAAGAGTATGTATGCCTGTTCACACAGGCATACATACTCTGTATTTGCAGCCTTTTTGTTTTGCTTGCAAAACTGAATTGAAATCGAATCCATTAAATTACCGAAGCATGGTGTGACAAAATGTGAAGAGTAACGCAACGGACTTTTTCGATCGGTAAGTGGCAGTGTTTCTTGTCGGCCAGCTTCGTTAAGTAGTGTAACCCAATCAATGAGTTGCCAGTGATCGGATTTAACGGATCCTTGTGTTATGCGCAAAGGATTCTGGGACTGCTAGGAAGCAAACGTTGGAAGTTCCGAAAAGGAAACTTCACTGATGAGTTAGCGAAAAATAGTTTTAAAATCAATTTTGTAGATATACATGGCACTGGAAAAAGTTCACTGGTTTTTGGTACCGATGAGACATAGCTAATTTCCAAAGTGATTAAGGACTCCTTTCGTAAGCGAAGTCTGCGAAGTCGCTCGTGGGCAGTTTATTTAAAGGAACTACTTGTGTACCAGTTGGCATCGCTTCTATAATTAGGAGAAGAATAGGTCCCAAAACCCTCTTCAAATGTGTTTCTTAGTATTATTGTTCGTTTTTTCTCAAAGGATTAGTTTAAGCCTATCATTCGATACTCTTTCTGCAATAATATTCTGACAAACAAGTACGTTTCAGTCGACGCTCAAATAAATTAACTTTTTCTGGGTCTTGTTCACCACTGGGTCGTACTTAATTAAATCTTTACGGCACACACCTCGTTGAAGTTGATTTGTTTAATTTCAACAGTCTTCGACGAGGTCGGCAGGGCATGCGTCTTTCCATGTTTTGACTTTATTTGGTTGGCAATGCTGTTTCTCTGCCAAAAAATAGTGGAAAGAAAAGTAAACCTGGTAAATCAGTGGCCTTCTATCGTCATTGATTGTAACTGCACCGTCGAAGATTTGCTATCATTATTCGCTAGAGTAGATAGTGTTAAAAATTCTACCCTTATTTCACGGTTCGTCGGCGACTACTTCATAATTCTAATATGCAACCGCGCTCTATTCATCAAACTGTATAACAGTCTCCACGCTTAGATAATGAAACTTGCTCAACCGGTTTTTGTTAAGATAATAGAATAGGCGAAAAGAAACCATTAATGCGGTGGTTTGACAAAAACAAGCCTCATGTTTAGGAGCTATTAGCCTTTTATCGAAAACAAGATCGTTACTCCCTTTTCTAAATTTTATAGTTTAAAGTCAAGACTTACAGGGAGCCAGTTTCTCCAAATGTTGGGCCTGTGGATCAAATGTTTCTCCAGAAACTTAAACCTCCCTCGAAATATGAAGGAAGATAAACTCGAAGATTGAAGAAGTTGCAAACGCTATCTTTCCGAGAATATTAGAAGAAAGTGTTAACCAATCGCAATGCGCCTAGTGTTCAGATCGCGTGACCGTGACTATAGACCGGAAGCGTATTATTCATTCCCAAATAAATCGTTCGATTAATTTCGACTGGGTTTGGCAATCGCTCTTCCCAATGAAACTATGACCAAGGCGAATAGTTTTCCTGTGTGGGCCTCAATCGCGACAACGTGAATACTTCGGAAGAAGACAACTATTTATCAAAGTGGATATGAAATATACCCAGTAGCTTTTCACCTACCCGGGGAAAATAAATAATTTATTTAAATAACGAATGCTGGATAATTTGCAGGATTAGTTTAAGCCTATCATTCGAAACTCTTTCTGCAATAATATTCTGACAAATAAGTACGTTTCAGTCGACGCTCAAATGAATTAACTACTCTAGGTCTTGTTCACGACTGGGTCGTACTTTATCGAATCTCAACAACACACACCTCGTTGATGTTGATATGTTCCATGTCAGCGGTCTTCGACGAGGTCGGCAGGGCATGCGTCTCTCCATGTTCTCTCTTAACGTGTTTGGTAATGCCGTTTGGCTGTCAGAAAATAGTGGAAAGAAGGGTAAACCTAGTCAATCGGTGACCTTCCAACGTCATTCATTTTCTGCATAGTCGAAGATTAAAAGAAAAAACAAGAACTCTCTCCCCATAACTCTTATCAAGAGGAAATGAATTCCCTTATTTTCTTGTTTTCTTACTTATCATCATGTTACAAAATTATGAAATTATCGACTGATTTAATCGAGATCAATCAACCTTTAAAGCAGTATATCTTTTGCAAATATCGCAGTGATAATGGAGTTTCTGTTCTCGGCCGTAACGGCATGGGTTTTGTTTGTCTGCACTGAATTCTGTTGAACAATCCCAATAACGTTTAGGCTTCTTCGCCATCGCCATGAAGCCCTGGAAAAAGAACCTATAAAGGGAGAAAAACAATGTGCTCAGTTTCCTAGCTGCTTAGTTTATTATTACAAATGTCCTCTTAAAATTTGGAATACATAAATAAAGAAATGAACTAGCTATAATCACGGATTAGAAAAGTGTGTTCTTCTATTTTGGTAAGGCAGAGTCATAAACCAGTTGCAACGCCGAACACAAAACTGTTGGACTTGAAACAATGATGATTGTCAAAACGAAAAGTTGAGTAAAATTGAACAAACGGTTCACTTGTGTTAGTCCAATTTTCAATGCGATAAGAAACTTGCGTTACAGAATATGTTATTATTGTCTAATAAGCTACTTGTAAAAACGATTTTTTTTTTACTGACATGCACATGATGGCATCCGTGATAGCCTGTCATTGGCTATCACATGGGCTCGAGGTCTCCGCATGAAGTCGACGCTAGTAGTCCGGCAGCCAGTCCATGCTGGCGCATAAACCGCGCTTCAAACACTGATTTCGTATGGCCTACAGACCGAAGAGACACGAATAGTGTGCACTCCTAACGGCGAACGCAATAAATAATTGTACGTTGTGCTACAACGTAACCAACTACTTTTTGATAACGCTGTGCAAGAATATCTGTTTGTCTAGATCGAGCAAAGACATTTAGTAAAACTAATTGTAAAATTTAACCGAGTATAAGAAAACCTTCATCAACAATAAGCTAAAATAATAATGTAATTTTGGTTTTATTAACTCAGTTGATATGTAAATTGGCCACCGTTAAAGCTGACGTTTCGAGCGTTGGCCCTTCTTCCTTCGCTCTGTCGAAAGGCTTACCTTGTTACTCCAGCCGACGCAGCACCACAATTTCCTTAGAAACTTACCCCCTTAAACATGATTATGTTAATGTAACGTAAGCTATAAGTGTTATAAATATAAAGAACAATTTTCAATAAATGAGACTTCATGTCCCTTTTGTAATGATAGCAAACCTTATCTCAAGAAGAGAACTCGAAAATGTCCAATCGGTAGTGTGTCAAAATTTAGTAAAACTGAGAGTGAGAGAAAAGAGGAAATAAAACAATCTACTCGAATGATCGCTTTGAAACGGCGTCTCTTTGTGCCTAACTGACATGAACTGAGAATTCGCTTTTAAAACAACTTATGAAATTAACTTTCATTGATGATGATATGTCACATATTCCTAGTAGGAAAAACTCCGGTTTGAAATCCGCTGCAGACAGGTATTCAACGAGATGGAGCCAAAATGCACTTCCCAAGAATTCTGATTTTCGAACGCAAAGTGTCGCCGGTGTCAGAAGCTTGACCTTCTTTGCTGGCTAATAAGTCCATTTATAACTTATTAACGAAGTAACCGCGAAATTTCAAGTTCATCTCTGGTTTAACTGATTATTTGTCACGGCAGAACCTCCTACGAACTGAATCGATCAGCATGTCGTTTCGATCAAGAATTCCTCCTTGAAATCCTCCCCACTAACAGGCAGCCGCGAATCGAATCCTCGCGATATATCAAGATAAGCACGAATAAATTCTGCATCAGTGCAGACCACCCAAGTAAGCGGATGATTAAAAAGCGAATTATATCTTTGTTTGCTACAGTAGAGGAGATAGAATTTGAAATTCTACCCTTATTTCACGGTTCGTCCGCGACTTCTCAGTAAATCTAATATACAACCGCGCTCTATTCATGGAACTGTATAACAGTCTCCACGCCCAGATAATGAAAGTTGAGTAGCCGTTTTCAGTTAAGATAACAGAATAGGCGAAAAGAAACCATTAGTGCGGTGGTATGAAAAATTCAAGCCACATTTTTACGAGCCATTAGCCTTTGATCGAGAAACAGAAGTAACAGTTATCCCCTTTTCCAAAATTTGTAGGAATAAAGTCAAAACTTACAGGAAGCCAGTTTCTCCAAAAGTTGGGCTCGTGGATAAGATGTTTCTCCAGAAACTTAAACCACCCTCGAAATATGAGGGTAGATAAACTCGAAGATTAAAGGAAGTTGCAAACGCTATCTTTCCGAGAAAATTAGAAGAGCGTATAAAACAGGTACGCATGCGCCTCGTGTACAAATCGCGTGACGGTGACTCTAGACTCCTATGCATTCCCAAATAATGAATCGTTCGATTAATTTCGATTGGGTTCGACAATCACTCTTCCCAGTGAAACCATGGCCAAGGTGAAAAGTTTTCATGTGCGGGCTTTAATCACGACAACTCGAATACTTTGGAAGAAAGCCTTTCACCGACATGGGGGTAATAAATAATTTATGTAATAACAAATGTTGAATAAGGTACAGGTCGCGTTTAAGGACAAAAGCGTTTGGATAGGTGTTTGATCTGTCATCGCTAGCCTCAGAAAAGCGCGATAAACCGAACCGTAACTTTAACATACCAACATAAGGTCGGAAGTTCATAAACCAGTGAAAATCTCCCCGCGATACTCCTTCGGATGTAAGCGGATTCTCATTTTCAACATTTCAGTCTCTGTTTGACGGCGAACCATTTTGTTCGTTTACGTCCTCGAAAATAATAATTTTTCGAGAATACATCTATGATCAGCGCACTTGAAAAGCACTCTTCTTCGTGTGAGTAGGCAATAAACATTTTAATTGCAATTCAGATTTTTTAGATACAATGAAAATATATGAAGTTCATATATTTTGAACTGCGGTATTAGATACGTATGATGCACGATCCTCGCAGTAGATAGCGCTATTTAAGCAATAGCGAAAATCAGACCTGGAAAAAATCAGGCCTGTACGGGATTCGAACCACTGACCTCTGCGATACTAGTGCAGCGCTCTACCAATTGAGCTAACAAGCCAACTGGGAGCAGGCCGTTAAGTTGATTCGTAATAAACCCGTGAAAGTGATAAATCAGATACAATGAAATATATGAAGTTCATATATTTTGAACTGCGGTATTAGATACGTATGATGCACGATCCTCGCAGTAGATAGCGCTATTTAAGCAATAGCGAAAATCAGACCTGAAAAAAATCAGGCCTGTACGGGATTCGAACCACTGACCTCTGCGATACTAGTGCAGCGCTCTACCAATTGAGCTAACAAGCCAACTGGGAGCAGGCCGTTAAGTTGATTCGTAATAAACCCGTGAAAGTGATAAATCAGATACAATGAAATATATGAAGTTCATATATTTTGAACTGCGGTATTAGATACGTATGATGCACGATCCTCGCAGTAGATAGCGCTATTTAAGCAATAGCGAAAATCAGACCTGAAAAAAATCAGGCCTGTACGGGATTCGAACCACTGACCTCTGCGATACTAGTGCAGCGCTCTACCAATTGAGCTAACAAGCCAACTGGGAGCAGGCCGTTAAGTTGATTCGTAATAAACCCGTGAAAGTGATAAATCAGATACAATGAAATATATGAAGTTCATATATTTTGAACTGCGGTATTAGATACGTATGATGCACGATCCTCGCAGTAGATAGCGCTATTTAAGCAATAGCGAAAATCAGACCTGAAAAAAATCAGGCCTGTACGGGATTCGAACCACTGACCTCTGCGATACTAGTGCAGCGCTCTACCAATTGAGCTAACAAGCCAACTGGGAGCAGGCCGTTAAGTTGATTCGTAATAAACCCGTGAAAGTGATAAATCAGATACAATGAAATATATGAAGTTCATATATTTTGAACTGCGGTATTAGATACGTATGATGCACGATCCTCGCAGTAGATAGCGCTATTTAAGCAATAGCGAAAATCAGACCTGAAAAAAATCAGGCCTGTACGGGATTCGAACCACTGACCTCTGCGATACTAGTGCATCAATTCTATTTCGCTCTTCTTAATTATATCTCAAGTCTATCTTCAGCGTTGTTTTTTTT